GACGACAATTTACCGCGTCAATCATGTCTGATCCGGTGCGCGAGAGAGGCCTGCGAGTCAGTCAATTCCTTCTAAATAGAAGAAATGGACAATTTTATGTATCAACATCGAGACCTGGCTCGTGGGGCCTCTGACCTCACGCCAAACCTGACCAGAGATGAGAAGGCAAGGTTATGGGCGGAATTAACCTGGCACCTCAACCACCTCGGGCCGCCACGCACCACAGAACGATGGAAAAGTACTTGGTTCAACCGAGTGAGAAAAGCCCGGAAGCGCTGCGCAGTCGTTGAGGCTGAGAGGTAAGCTAGGCAGTAGATAAACTGTCGGGACAGAGTTATTGATATATACTTTGTATTCACAGCCGCAAATCGGGGGAGGCTCCTCCCGGATGCGGCTATCATCAACGTACTCCCACATCCTGTTTATTGTAGGGGTGGACTCTGCCCTGGGCGCCCCCGGGTTTCGTGTACCCTACCTTCCGGAGGAGGTACGTACTTGACCACGGAACAGCACAACAATCTACATGTATTGCTTATTTCTGCAGAGTTCCAGGAGGTGGGGCAAGTGTACGAAGTGAACGCTTCAATTTGTATTTTAAAATTAATGGAAGCATTGTATCAAAATTTTGATGAACTTACCTGAGAAAGAAGTGCCCAGTTAAAAATAACCATTGACTCGAATTAGGATATTCAATTGGAACCAATTGGAGTCAATGGAATTCAATTGGTTCTGGGTCATCCAACTGGTCATTCTAATTAGTTTCAATGTTTCCAATTGGTTACACCAATTAGGACAAACAAAATTCAATTGGCACTGGGCGACCTAATTGGTCACTCTAATTGGATTCAATGTTTCCAACTGGTTACCCCAATTAGTACCAACGAAATTCAATTGGCACTCAGCCACCTAATTGGTCACTCTAATTGGATTCAATGTTTCCAACTGGTTATCCCAATTGGGATCAATAAAATTCAGTTGGCACTGGGCCACCTTATTGGTCACTCAATTGGATTCAATGTTTCACTGGACCACCTAATTGGTCACTCAATTGAATTCAATGTTTTCAACTGGTTATTCTAATTAGGATCAATAAAATTCAGTTGGCACTGGGTCACCTAATTGGTCACTCTAATTGGATTCAATGTTTCCAACTTTATGTTTTCAATGTTTCCAATTGAATTTTATTGATCTCCGATTGGGATCAATAAAAATCAATTGGCACAGGGCAATACCACCTAGAACACAAGGCCTGCGCGTTTCCTCCTCTAAACGTCATCACTAGTAGATCCCCTCAGCGCCCCCTAGCTAGCCCGGATGAGCAACATCGTCTGCTACATCGTCTGCTCCATCGCCTGCTTCAGTGGTTTGTGTAACAGATAATGAAACAGATGCTCACGCCGAGTGTCTCTTGCAAATAGCATACGATGAAGTTAGACGTTCACATGGAGCCTCAAAGGCATGAGCGAAATTGCCTTACTGCTGCGCGAAGGGCTTTTTGAAAAGCCCTTCGTTGGACGCTGGACGCTGACACTGGACGCCATTTTCGAGGGCGCTGTTTATACCTCGGGTAGCTGCTTCGAAGCGTTCTACCGCAGAACGAGCGCGCGCGCTAGAAATGCGCGTCTCAATGCCAGGAGCGCGTCTAGCTCGCGCTCCTGGCCGAGGGAGCGTTCGCGTGCACGACGCAAATGCGCTGGAAGCTTGCTATTAGCTCGCGCTCAGCAGTCACGCACACAGCTGTCGCCGCAAGTGAATGCGACGTAGTTGCGACGCGGCCCCTACTCTCGTCAAGCTTCGGGCTGTTTGCCGCTTGGGGCGGGTCGGGGATCTACTAACGAAACGTCATGCGCAGGCCTTGTGTTCTAGGTGGTATTGCACAGGGTCACCTAATTGGTCAAACCAGTTAGACAGAACTTGCCATTATCTCTTTATCCTCACCACAAAGTTTCCAAAGATCGCAATTTCTTTTTTTTTGTTTTTGTTTTTCAGTATTGCGTTGCAATAAATTTTTTCAGCATTGCAATTTGAAAGGGGGAAAAAAATTTGTACGCTGTTTAATAAAGAAAAAATAAAAACGAACAAAAAATAAGAAAAACAAATCTGTTGCTAGAATTAGTCGGAATTGCCGGCAGCGTCGGTGTACACTGGGCGGCAAAGATGGCGCCGCGACGACGGTGGAAGCATGGAGCACATGGCGACGATGGCGTGCACGGCATTCGTAGCATGGTTCTGGCAATGCTTCAAGGAAGTTCTTTTGTGTTTTACTGCTGCAGAGTGCTCAATGGTGCGGTGAAAATTACTTCATTTGACCTGCCAGCTTGTTAGAGCGCGAAGGATTGGCAACAAACGTTTATGGGAGCAAGGTAAGAAATTTTCTTTGTCCTTGCTGCGCTGCAGTTTGGGGATTTCGGATTGCTAGATCTGCTGAGACACTCGTTGCTTGATCTTAGTGAACGGTACGAGCGTGAATGTATAGCTTTAGAGAATAACGTTTTCCGGGCAGCTATCAGTTCGGAAATTGTTGGGCATCTACGAGGAAAGTTAAGTGCGTTTTAAGCATCTCAAAACTAAGCTATGAATTGCTGAAAACACTGACTGGGCACAGTTTCAAAAATTGAAGCTTTGGGATTCAAAATGAAGCAATTTTGGGGAAATTTTCGATGAGTGCGAAGTGGGGTGGGGGGGGGGGGGGGTCGGTCGGTCGGTGATGTCGGGTCATTACCTCCGGCAGTTGATGACTTCTTAACAAAATAACAGTAGGTGCCGAAAATTTTGCATCTCATCCGGCGGACTATTTGCAGCTATGTTTCAAAATTTACTCTGTCTCACTCAGGGTAAGTTCAAAAACCTACCCACGTCCAGCGTTGCCTCTGATCCATTCGAGTAAGATTTGGAACACAGCCTGCAATGCATGATTTCTTTTCGAGATACGAAAGACACTTATTTTTTCACGTACCCATTTACACTTAAAGCATTTTTCAAGTGCACTGGCCAGCTTTACAGAGATGCCTTTGATTTGACTGTTTTTTCTCTTTATAGCAGAGAATGTCTCACAGGCTCATAGGATGCAAATGCAAATTTAGCCCAGTCTCGGCAAAAGCTTCATCTCCCAATTTTGACCAGAGTGTTTCAGTCACCCAGGGATGTTTGCCTTTTAATGCAAGGCCTGCAGGTTTATACTACTGCAACTAATTTCTTTGCAGCGAAAAAAAATGTTCAGTATGTTTCTAAGCTTGATTTAAACATTTATAGTCCCATAAGGTCATTTAATGCATATTTATCCTTTATTTTAGGGAAGCTGCAGCTGCTATCCTGGAAGAAAACAACGATGCCTAGAAGCAAGAAATCATTTTTAATAAGTTAAATAAAGACTGTCGTGATTATCTAAGTTTGATTTAGTTGCAACTTTTTTCTAGTTTGGAATATCCAAACACTAATAGTTGTCCCAATTCGTATCTGTCAATATGATTTGAACAGTTGGACCAATTGCTTTTTTCCTATTGGGAGTCCGAAAGCAGAAAAATGTTTTTCCAATTGGTTGCATCCTATTGACTGCTGAACTGGTTCGAATTGGTGATGTTCAATTAGATTTCGACAATTGGAACCAATCGACTTTTTCTAACTAGGAGTCCGAAATCACAGATAGGATTCCCCATTGGTTCTAATTGTCGATAACTAATTAGAACCAATTGACTTCTCCTAACTAGGAGTCCGAAATCAGATAGGATTCCCAATTGGTTCTAATTGTCGACAACTAATTGGAGCCAATTGACTTTTTCTAACTAGGAGTACGAAATCACAGATAGGATTCCCCATTGGTTCTAATTGTCAATAACTAATTGGACCCAATGGTTATTTTTAACTGGGCATGAGCAAGCCGTTGTCGACCTTGGTGGCACACAATTTACCAACTTCGTCTGACGTGCCACAGAGTGTGATGGGTACAGCAAAGACCCGTATCCATGTAGGTGGCTACTTGGATAACGAGTACACCCTGTTTTCATACGTGCCTCTCTCTGTGATATATGAGTGCCGATGTCACTTACTTAAACAATGGGTAGCTGGCATCGCCCCTCCTCCTTCCTCCTCCTCCTCTCCCTCCTCCTCCACCGCTTCCTCCTCCTCCTCCCACTTCCTCCTCCTCTTCCTCTCCTCCTCCTCCTTCTCCTCCCCTAATGCAAACGTCCCATAATGCAACGTGCGGGTCACGAGTGAGATGCCCGCACTGCATTATGTGACGTTTCCCATTATACACAGCGTGGTTACGGCGACGCCACTCAAGCCTGAAACGTGTGCCTAAGAGCTGCGCTCTAAAAGATTCAGCAAAGAATTGCAGTCTTTAACTGCTTTGTTAATAGATGCATAATGCAAAAATTTAATGGTCCTTCAGTATCAAACTGAAAACATACTAGGTTACTGCCACTTCCCTAGCGGAGTTGAGAACGAACGATGCTGCCACGAGTACTAAAAGGGTTTGAGCCCACTTGGACCGGGTTCTTTTAGAGCACAGCTCTTAGGCGCCCATTCCCGGCTGAGCGTCATTGGCGTAACCGTGCAGTGCATTATAGGAAACGTCCCATGATGCACCGCGCCGAAACGTCACATGACTTCACCGAAACGTCACGTGACGACGCGCATTTCGCACGTGAAAGGAGGACGAGGAGGAGGAGAAGAAGAAGGTATGGATAAGGAGGAGGAGCATACCCTCCCCTCAGTACCCTCCCTTCCTCCTCCTCAAAAGCTGCTTTCTAAATCTGTGTTAGAGGAAGGGGGCGATGGAAGGATTTGTGTACTTTCAGTAAATAGTGCTTGGAAGTATTCCGTGACATTCATTACCTATGAGGCCCAAGTTTGACCTGGGTAACCATCCCCAAGATTTACTTGTACTGCTACAAAAATCTGCTCAAATCTGCTTTTGTGGCTCCTGAGCCACTCCATAGCGGAACTTTTGCTGCTCTAAAGTGGCATCATTGTTGCTCCCACACCTTCTCAACGAAAAGATGAAGCTGGCTTCCATTCCTGGAAATGGCATCATCCATTTCCCCCCGAGTTGGGGTGCTGGAAGCTTCGAGATTTTCATGCGCTCGTTAAGACCTCAATTCTGGAAGGCGGCGGCTAACCTTGCGCCCTTTCATTTGCAGGCCTACATTCACAGCAGCAGCGGAGTCCAGCTGATCGTCGAGACCTACATCGTGATTGCCCTCAGTATCCTTTTTCCTGCATCTTGCATTGTCTATTCACGGGGTGCACCAACCTTTTGGCCGCTTTAAAAGAAGCCAGAAAAACCGTTGCCCTCAGCTGTAGTCGCTAACAGGAGAAGAAGAGCTCCAGTTGTCCCGCCTCCGGTACAAGCTTCCTACCTTGGACAATGCTTCCATGTCTCGTAAGCCACGAGCTTGCACGCTCGGTTAAATTGTGAAGAAAGGCAACGTACGCAGGCTGGGAATCCATGAGAGATGCTCCGTCACTCTCATTCTGTCAGTGGCTGCCGCTAGGCTCCGTTTCACTTTAGTCGCGAGCGTAGCAGAGGCTGTGAAAGTGAGCTCAGGGCTTTCAACATCCCTCACCAAGCATGTGCGCTCGTATCATGCGAGATCGGGGCAATGTGCTTGCACTTGTGACGTCGGCTTCGCCTGGAACTATAGCTGAAACTTTCGTCAGAGGTATCTCGCAAAAAATGTGGGTTTACCCTGTGAAACTTTTCCCTGCAAAAATGTGCAGGCTTGAACCTTTCCCTGCATGACTGACACGGTAATTTCAATCGAAGCAAGTTCATGATTGACTTTGTCGACTATTCGCTGCAGTCAGGATACACATACATTTTTTTTAGCCTGGGTTATGTACGAAGAAATTAATTTGGATACAGAAGCCTCCGAACTCCAAGAAAAATTTTTTTTGTGTGTGAAAACATAAATTTTATTTTTGTGGATACCATGCTTTAAATTCCTGGAATTTGTATAAAACCTATGCAGTTAAGAAAAACATGTTAAAAGAACGGTGTCTTACCACACAATATTGAAAGATGCCATTTTGAGTCCGAATAGGAGCTAAAAAAAATACTTTATAAGATTTTTTTTTTTTTTTACCGTGGAGCTGTTAAGGCCTAGTTTCCCCAGGATTGTGTCCCTCGCAAAGAAATGAAGACTCCAAACTCTGGACACCTACCGCCATCTATGAGCGACGGCGGCAAGCCACGTATCTGGTTGTCGCCGTCGCTCACAGATGGCGGCAGCTTTTCCACTCTGGCTTACCGACTTCTGGCCGGCCATTACTTTTCATTGTACAGCTCCGCTGGTCTTCCTTCTTTACCAGAGTGGAAAGGCTGAAAGTTTTTTTTAGTCAACTTGCATTTATGTGTTCGCTACAATACTTTTACTTTGTTCTCTTAAGACTAATAATTGAATTGCTTGTATTATATTTTCTTTATATATTGTTTATTATATTATATTATATTGTTGAGTTCGAACTAAATGTGAAAATCCCCAGTTTATGCACAAACGGTCATATAGAGACCCATAAGGAAAAGTTGTATTTTTGGCCCACAATGTGTGGAGAAACAAAAGCGATAGCTGCACGGTCGCGCAATGCGGGTGAGGTGGTGATGCCACGTACCTTACCTGGGTAAGCGCGATGGAAGTTTCTAAAACGATCTAACATTACGCGCAGCAACTGGATACTGCCAAAGTGGGATTTCGCATAATGCGAGGGACGTTTGAGAAAACGTTTTCAAGCAGACAACATGGAAGACTCCTTTCGTAGCACCGTAACTGGCGGGATGGCCGACAAGAAAACCCACTTCCCTGGCCTCGCGCCAAAAGTGGAGAGGGGTTTTTGCGTAGCGGCGACGACTGGGAGACAAGGTCGAAACCTTTGCAAAGTAATTAGACATCAGGAAGATACATAGAAAGGGGGGACGGACAACGAAGACTTCCAACTAGCAACAACATTTATTGACCCGAGGTTTGCATATATAGGTGAAGGAGGGGAGGGTGAAAGACGCTACACTGGAAAGTGGAAAAGCGATGGGAGAGAGTGTAGAGCCAGGGAAATGAGGGACGATCCCGTGGGGTAGACATCTAATCGCTCGGAGCCGCTAAAACGAGGGACGTCAGCTCTGGCCCCAGGAAGTTTATCTCCCTCCTGGATAAGCCTATGGACGGGGATCCGAAGTTGTTGTGACTGTAGTGCATGGCGAAGGCCTCCATGATCTCTCGTCCGTATCTTGAGGCGTGACCTCCAATCCTGGTGGTCGAGGGAAGGTCGGCCGAACAGGGTTCGCTGCACTCAGAGGTGTGTTTGGCAATCGGGTGGTAACAAATCTCCGAAGTGTCGGAGGCGGCTTTCTTGATCTCGTTTGCATGTTCCCTCACCCGATCGTTTAGGCATCGGCCCGTCTGTCCGATGTATTTAGCACCGCAGGACATGGGAATCGAATACACGCACTCTTTGCAGCAGGTTACATATTTGGACTGGTGCTTTTTCTGGCACGGGGGCGCTGGACCGGGGTTGTTGACCTTTCTACAAATAGAAGCTAATTTGAACTTGCAGGAAAATACAACGTTGGTGTTGAAGCCGAGCGCAATAGATTTCAGGCGATGTGAGGTGTTGTGTATGTAGGGGATGCACGCGAAGCGTGACTTAGGAGGGAGGGGTTTGGACTTCTGCTCCGCGACAAGTCTTTTGATTGTTGTTTCAACCAGGTCTCTCGGGTATCCTGCCTTTATGAGGCGACTAATCTGCTTGGATAGGCTGGGGGCGGAAAGGTGCTGACAGGATTTAACCTTTGCCGAAGCAACTAGATTTCGAACGATCCCATTTTTTACATTCCTTGAGTGTGAGCTGTTGAAAGGAAGAACGGGCTTAGAGGACCTCTGCTGGTGAGCCCAGCAGATACCTTTGCTAGTTGGGACCAACCTGAGATCCAGGAACTGTAAGCCCTCAGGGGACGGGGCCTCTTTGGTGAACGTAAGCCCATGTGAGTTCTTCTGGAACACGGTCTCTATGGCTGCAGAGTCGGAGATGGTGGAGTGTAGGATGAGATAATCGTCAACATAACGAAAAACCTTCGCATCGGGAAAATCTCGTTGAAGGTCCGCCTGAACTTTGGCGTCAACATAAAACAGGTAAATTTCGCTGAGGACGGGAGCCAAGCAAGACCCGATACAAACGCCGGCCCTTTGTATGTACACTTTACCCTCATATTCAACAAGCGTTGATTGGAGATACAGTTGTGTCAATTCGAGAAATGAGGACAGCGAGACGCCACATGAATTTTGAAAGTCTATGACACCTGTCTCGTGGATGGCGTCAGAAATGAAGCCCAGGAGGGTCTTCACGTTTAGGCTATAGTAGAGATCTACAACATCCAGCGAGAACACTCTTACAGCTTCAGTGCCGGCGTGTAACTCGTCCAGCACGGGAAGGAGATTTCCGAATTTCTTAGTCTGAAAGGTTGGGGGAGCTCTAACGTGCCGAGATGTTCCTGCAGAAACTTCGCCAAAGGCCTCTGCCAACACCCCGTCTCGGATACAATGCTGCGGAACGGCACGCCTGGTTTGTGGGTTTTAGCAGAAAAGAAAATAGAGAGGTATTGCTTCGCTGGGGCAAGAACGGCACTTTTTAAAGAAGGGAGGTTAGATGAATCGCACATTGCCTTCACCCTGGACCTGAGGGATCCGGATGGCCGCAATTTGAGGCCGCTAAAGTTCTTCTTTAGGGCCTCGTCGGATTTCTCTTGCATTTGTTGTTTGTTCAGGATGACGAACTGACCAGGACAGCCAAAAACGCCTCTACGCCAGTCATCAAAGAACTTCAGGCCGGTGAGCTGAGTTTACTTCAAGCTGACAAAACGGGTCAGTTCCTCATCCTGAACAAACAACAAATGCAAGAGAAATCCGACGAGGCCCTAAAGAAGAACTTTAGCGGCCTCAAAACGCGGCCATCCGGATGCCTCAGGTCCAGGGTGAAGGCAATGTGCGATTCATCTAACCTCCCTTCTTTAAAAAGTGCCGTTCTTGCCCCAGCGAAGCAATACCTCTCTATTTTCTTTTCCGCTAAAACCCACAAACCAGGCGTGCCGTTCCGCAGCATTGTATCCGAGACGGGGTGTTGGCAGAGGCCTTTGGCGAAGTTTCTGCAGGAACATCTCGGCACGTTAGAGCTCCCCCAACCTTTCAGACTAAGAAATTCGGAAGATCTCCTTCCAGTGCTGGACGAGTTACACGCCGGCACTGAAGCTGTAAGAGCGTTCTCGCTCAATGTTGTAGATCTCTACTATAGCCTAAACGTGAAGACCCTCCTGGGCTTCATTTCTGACGCCATCCACGAGACAGGTGTCATAGACTTTCAAAATTCATGTGGCGTCTCGCTGTCCTCATTTCTTGAATTGACACAACTGTATCTCCAATCAATGCTTGTTGAATATGAGGGTAAACTATACATACAAAGGGCCGGCGTTTGTATTGGGTCTTGCTTGGCTCCCGTCCTCAGCGAAATTTACCTGTTTTATGTTGACGCCAAAGTTCAGGCGGACCTTCAACGAGATTTTCCCGATGCGAAGGTTTTTCGTTATGTTGAAGATTATCTCATCCTACACTCCACCATCTCCGACTCTGCAGCCATAGAGACCGTGTTCCAGAAGAACTCACATGGGCTTACGTTCACCAAAGAGGCCCCCTCCCCTGAGGGCTTACAGTTCCTGGATCTCAGGTTGGTCCCAACTAGCAAAGGTATCTGCTGGGCTCACCAGCAGAGGTCCTCTAAGCCCGTTCTTCCTTTCAACAGCTCACACTCAAGGAATGTAAAAAATGGGATCGTTCGAAATCTAGTTGCTTCGGCAAAGGTTAAATCCTGTCAGCACCTTTCCGTCCCCAGCCTATCCGCCCCCAGCAGATTAGTCGCCTCATAAAGGCAGGATACCCGAGAGACCTGATTGAAACAACAATCAAAAGACTTGTCGCGGGGCAGAAGTCCAAACCCCTCCCTCCTAAGTCACGCTTCGCGTGCATCCCCTACATACACAACACCTCACATCGCCTGAAATCTATTGCGCTCGGCTTCAACACCAACGTTGTATTTTCCTGCAAGTTCAAATTAGCTTCTATTTGTAGAAAGGTCAACAACCCCGGTCCAGCGCCCCCGTGCCAGAAAAAGCACCAGACCAATTATGTAACCTGCTACAAAGAGTGCGTGTATTCGATTCCCGTGTCCTGCGGTGCTAAATACATCGGACAGACGGGCCGATGCCTAAACGATCAAGTGAGGGAACATGCAAACGAGATCAAGAAAGCCGCTTCCGACACTTCGGAGATTTGTTACCACCCGATTGCCAAACACACCTCTGAGTGCAGCGAACCCTGTTCGGCCGACCTTCCCTCGACCACCAGGATTGGAGGTCACGCCTCAAGATACGGACGAGAGATCATGGAGGCCTTCGCCATGCACCACAGTCACAGCAACTTCGGATCCCCGTCCATAGGCTTATCCAGGAGGGAGATAAACTTCCTGGGGCCAGAGCTGACGTCCCTCGTTTCAGCGGCTCCGAGCGATTAGATGTCTACCCCACGGGATCGTCCCTCATTTCCCTGGCTCTACACTCTCTCCCATCGCTTTTCCACTTTCCAGTGTAGCGTCTTTCACCCTCCCCTCCTTCACCTATATGTATATGCAAACTTCGGGTCAATAAATGTTGTTGCTAGTTGGAAGTCTTCGTTGTCCGTCCCCCCTTTCTATGTATCTTCCTCATGTCTAATTACCGTTACCAACACGCTCGTTTTGTACCTTTGCAAAGTGTTCCCCGTAAAGCTATCACTCTAAAAGCAATGTTGGGTTATTGCTCCGAATATGGCCGTGCCTGCGTAAGCTGGAGATTTTGTTGTTTAGTAAAATGCAACGAAACCAGGCTTTCAAAATTTAATACAAGCAATTCAATTATTAATCTTAAGAGAACAAAGACAGAAGTATTTGATCTGACACTCAAATGCAGGTTGACAAAGAAAGCAAATAAATCTCATAAAGTCTCTTCTTTAATGTAACATAGGGCACATTAGGTAATTAGGCACCCACCTAAATTTATGTGGTAAGCAACTGTTTTTTAAGAATGTTTTTCTTAATTTAAAAGGGTTTATGCAAATTCTAGAAATTTAAAGCATGACATCAGCAAAAATAAAATAATTTCAGAGGTTTTTTTTATCCAAGTTAATTGTTTCATACATATCTCAGAGCTGAAAAAATTGCTGCGTTTTCTTGGGCATTGAGTAACCCTGTGGTCGTTGTGCCACGGGGGCGTGCCATATTCCTTGACAGACTTCACTCCAGACGTTGCTGTCGTCTTCGGCATGATTCTCATGAACGACGCCGCAGAGTCGAAGGGTGACCCGAAGAAGCGCAAAAGTGAGTATTTCGGGGTCTTGAGGGCTCCTAAACTTTTAACTCTTGAGGAATGCCCATCTCTCTCAACTACTAACCGACAAACTCGTCCTGGTCACAGTATCGGTGCAGTAAGGGGGGATGCTGGTCTTTAATTGTCTGTTGTTTAGTTTTCAATCATCGTGTTGAAATTTAGTAGACTGATGCATTTCTGAGTGGTGATTTCAAATATGCATCTAGTTTTCACATAGCTTTACTAGATCCTGACTTATCAATAGTTTTTGTAATTTTAATTCGGTCCTCTTTTCGGGTCATTATCGTAAATATTCAGAATTTATCAGAAATGTTTATAGGATTGCATTCCTCAAGACATGCTTTGTGCGGTGATACCGTTTTTTTTGCTTTATATGTCGTACCATAATTTTAATTAATTAGTCTCAAAAAGACATAACCTCCCGTTTTGTGCCACTTGATTGCAAATCTTTTTTACCATTGTAATATCGTTAAATCAGGCTTAAAATAGCACCACTGCACAAAACATGTCTTGAAGAATGCATTCTACGAAAACTTGCGATATATTCTGAAGAATTTCATGCAAGCGAATCCGTAAGGAGGACCTAATGAAATTACAAATTTATTGATAACTCGGGATCTAGTAAAGCTATTCGAAAACTAATTGCCTATTTAGAGTCACCTCTGAGAAATGCATTAGTATACTGAATTGCAACACAATAAATGAAAAACAAAAAGTTGAAGACCAGCATCCCCTCTAAAGCAGTGCAGAAGCCTGTAGACTTCATACACAATGACGCCCACGCCAGGGAGAGTTTATTGCATGCTTATGCATGCGTAGACGGCTCGGGTCCTCTAAATTAATGCTTAATTTGGAAGAGCACTTCAACTAGGAGCAGGGTTTTTTGAGGGAACGTAAAACGTCAAGGAGCCTATAGGGTATTTCGGGGAACCCGGGTGCCTGGAAACCCAGTTTGAGAACAGTCGGTCATTTCAACAGCTTGAACTTCCCGAATCTTGTCAGAACGTCCGAATGTTGCGATCGAGTGACCCACCTGAGCTTCTTTTATTCTGTTCCTCCGAATTTTAAGACCTAGACAGAATGTGTACCCCGTAGAAAGGGGCCAAGCAGAAGCTGCGGAAGGCGTGCACCGAGACGGTGGCGCCACGGTGCGGCTGCTAGCAGAAGGATTTTGTATAGACCACGGCCGCACCGGCATAGATAGCCTGCGCAGCAGCAAACATTTCTAATCTATGTCAGCTTGCCTAAGAACATCGACATACAAACGTTCAAGGCCACAGTTGGCGCTAACTTTTTATGCAAGGCCCGGAAATTGAGAATACAAATTTCCTCCTTGCGACGTCGAAAAGTGCCGCTATCATCTCAATCTCAGGTACGTCTACTCGATCCGCCAGCGAGCTAAGAGCAATCTGTTAATAAGAGGAACAAAAGATACTTCTCCTGCTGATTCTTTTCACTTACTTTCATTGATTGAAACAAGTTTACATTAAAGCGTGCACGATCCTTTTAATTCAACCATTCAAATAAAACTTGCGCGTGCTATGTATTTTTGTACTATTGACGTCTTTAAATGAATGTTTCCCTAGGTGCTCGAAATTCAAGTTTGAATAGGTGCTACAATGCCTTTGAAGCGACGCCCCTTGTTTCAAAAAGAGAGATTTCAAATTCGTAGTGCTCTAGTCACTGGCAGAAATGCGGGGCCCGACGACTACCGAGTATGTTATTATTACACTGAAGCCAACGAGGCTGCTTAGTCAATGAGAATGCCAAAGGTTGAATCTCGTAAGAAGATTAAGCCATGTCCTGCGTTTCCTAAGCTCTCACTGACTAGAGTACTTCGATTTTAGGAATTTGACGTGTTGAACTCATTTTCGCTGCGGCAATGGCACTAACGATCTTCTTGTCTTTCCAGTCATGGCTGTTGTGGGGCTACTCCTGATGTCCGTCTTCTTCAGCTTCCTCCTCTCCATCTTCCGCTCCAAAGCGCACGGCTACCCCTACAGGTAAGCTGAGAAAAGACGCGACCATCCTGAGTGCGGTAAACACAGATTGTCTCGCACGTGCATGCACGTTTGCCACAAAGCAATGCAGTTTGCCCGAAGTTAGTGCATTGCCGCCGTTGCTGCCATTGCTCATCAACACGGCCTCTCTTATCCATTTCCTCCGCTGTCGGGCCACAAATTCTCGTATAACTTCCCCTAACCTGAGCTATCATTTGTGGTAACATCCAAAAATTGTTTATGCATCCCTCTCTGCATGACTATTCGACGGATCTTCGGGTTGGTATCGGCTTAATTTGTGTTGCTTTGGTTCTTAGGGGCTGCTTCCTCTTTTTGCAAGCCTGTCCGAATTCCTTAAAAATTTCTTTTGAGGCTCCACTTTGCTATAGCTTTCTAACTCCGCGCTCCCGATTGGTTCAATTGAAATTTTCTGCTTGCACACTTCATTGCATCCTGCTTGCTTCGTCGCACTCTGCTTTTTATACACTTGCTCTTCCGTTTGAGTGACTTCCTCGTCTCAACTTGCATTCTTTCGTGAGCCTCCGCACCCCCTTGGCAAGTATAGAAGCCGTACGTCTCGTGTTACGAAGCTGCCGTCAGTCTAACACAGTTTATTCATCTTCGCCGACTCACGTTTAGCTCACTGATCCATCTTGATACTGATTTCCACCTTCCGTCCCGTTTTCCCCGTGTCCTGTTTCAGTTTCCTGTTCAAGTGAGCGGTTCAGAAAATGCCTCTTGGATCGCTCGAAAGTCGCCGAAACGACAGCACCTTGGTTCGCTTGTCACGGGAAGATTGCTTTTGGAAGTCCTTGTCCTTTCTCTCTTCCCAACACATCCCTCCCCAAACCTTCCTTTCATGTTTGTTTCACTGTACATAGAAGTTAGGCCTTTTTAGGCCTAACTAGTTGAGCCTTTATTTTTTTCATTTTTGTTGATACTGCTTGAATTGTTTCGGTTCTTTTTTCATTTTTACTTTTTCAATAAAGGAGTCTGGAAGAAAACGATACATGGGAGCTACACTTGTCCGTGCATCCTCTTAGTTTCTGTATAGTAACTCACAGATGTGTAATCACTCACACAATGAGGACGGCAGGGTACCTTCTTTAGAGGTGCATTCTCGAAGCTGGCACTGGAAGTAGAACAATTGAAAGACCTCTCTACCTTTGTCATCCTGTGCATTACTATTGTACATGATTGGCTTTACTTGGCGTTCTTTTGCTGTCGCTGGGCCCATGACGTCTGACCGAGGAGTCGAAGGAATTTTGGTGATGAGATAAATTGGTGAAATTTAGATACTGTGTTTACTAGAAGGCAATGAATAAATTTTTTTGGACTTGGTTTCGACAACAGGCTTGCCATATTAATAATATTTTGGTAACGTAAGTGGGCTTTGTAGTTCTGGGTAATTACTGAGACACAAAGAAATATGCATTAAAAAAATTAAACAATCTCGCGAGTCGTTTAGCATTTATGATTATTTTGAGGAATATGGATACTATAGATTATCTGATTATTCTGCCTTTTTGAGGGTATGTGCGCTCCTAAATGCATAAGAAATCAAAGCTGCTTGCTTATTTACATATTTTATTTGTATCAGTTTTATATGCTGGAGTAGGCGCTAGGTCTTGTTTCATAAAGGCATTGACTATTTCAACATCCACCGTCAAAACATCTCAAACATTATTTTGACATCTATGATATCACTTCCTTAAAAAAATCGAAATAAGTGTCTTTATTGTTCCGACATCCCTCGTTAAATCAGCTATCTTCAGGAAGTAACATTGCGGACATCAATACATGTTATATTATTTTGTGAGAACACAGAAATAGCCACGGCCTTTAATCAACATAACCTAACTAGAATGGGATTTAAGGGAGTTATCCTGTCTTTGGAGGACATCGAGCAAAAGTTTGATGGCCACTGATTTGCCTTAAAATTGGTTCAACATATGTTACTAGAAGATCAGCTAGCAACTCAAGTTACAATTTTCATTGAACGATTTTTTTGCGAAGTAATTGAATTTTTAAATTGAGGCTAAGAGGCTTGTTAGCAAAACTGAAAACAAGCTCTACAACCTCCATATTATTATGTACAGCTTGTCACAGACGGGTTACGAGAAGTTCATTAGTGTGGTATGAATGCTTAAAAATTCGTGCCAGCAAAACAAACTCGCAAAATACGGGGTTTCCTAGACTGCCAGCTCGACTTGCAGGCTGCAGAATGTCACCCCACTGGACAGTGGAGAAACATTTAGTTGGTTTTGGCATAACCTCCATTTGAGGCATTAAATAGCATGCCAAAAAGAGTAAAGCCTGTGTGTTCTGAAAACAAAAGAAAAGCGCAAATAAAACGAGGACAATAAGGGCACAAGGACGACAGGATAGGCGCTTTCAACTGATTTTATTAGAAACCATCGTCACTTATATACGCACTCATCTGCCCGACTTGTATAACAACCAATCCCAATCTTACAGGCAGCCATCCAGAAAGGTCGCTTCTTTTTGAAGCTGGTAAAGACAATGCGCTAACGCATTTGTCTTTTCTTTTTTTATATAAAACGCCCCTACAATCTCTCTACGAATACTTGAAAGCAGAGATGGCAAAATTACTTTCAAAAAGTACTAGATTACCTCCCAAATAGGCTCCACGTTCATCCACCGGGTGCACATTGAAAGATCGTTTAATTAGCTTTAAAATTAGTTTTCTTTTGTCTTTCAACGAAAGACTGGTATTTTTGAGGTTGTGCTGCAACATGCAACACATTAAAGCTAAAAAATGAGCGCTGGAATTTTGTTTCCAGGAATCTGTCAAAGGGAATAGAGTGTTTCGAAGTTCGTGGACGACATCTCTTCCTAAAAAGCATTGGTACAACTTATAATAATTCGCCGCAGTCGCTAAAACAACATCCAGAGAAACGGCTTGTAGAATAAATGTTATCGCTTCTCTACATAGCACCACTCAGGACGAAGCGAGTCGAGGCAGTTTCTCCACTTTAAAAGAGTTATTTTGCTTTTCTTTAATAGTTGACTAGTTTAATATGGTTATTGAAGTCACTATGGTCACTTCATAACGGCAGGGTGTGCCTTTCGAACGCCTGGCGTCCACCACGCGCCCATGCCTTCCGTCGTGCTTTGACTGCACGCGCGCGGTCGAGGTGCACAAACGCCGAAGCGTTGTCAAGGGCAGTAGGCTCGCGCTGGAGGCGGGACAACAAAAAAAAAATCAACGTAAAGTGTATAGAAAGTCAACAGCTTTTCTTTTGACTCGGGCTGAAGATAATCATCAGAAAAGTTTCAACACAAAATGAACAAACTTTCCGTTGACCATGTCAACAGGAAGTCAGAGTCAAAATAAAGTAATCAGAGTCAACAAGAAGTAAGCACGTTTTCAATAAAAAGTCAGACATAATTTTTATAGGGGTGCAAGCATGTGAAGCGTGCGCGTGAATGTAGCTTTGGAAGGTTTGAAATCGCACATGCTCGCACGATCGGGAACACGGCGGCGGCCAGATGCCTTGTTTGCATTCGTCTATTGGCGACGTGAGCGATCGAAAGCGTCGCTGCGGTCGACCTGCCACGATTGACCGAATGCCGACTATGACGTCAGCTAAAGATTTCTCATCGGCGGAAATAAGATTAATGTACCACCTTCACTGATTTTGACGGTGTTGGTTTCAGAGCGCAATGATTTCAAGCAGGGATGGGCCAAATACATGCAAATATGTATCGAAATACAAATACAAAATACTTCGTCAAAAATGTATTTAATTACAAATCTAATTACATTTCCAAAAAAAGCATTTAAGTACAAAATACAAATACAACGAAATGTATTTGGTCTCCTCCAAATACCTTTGCAAATACATTCATCAAAATTTGCGTCAGCGACTTCAGGGCACCTGCAACGGTTTTCTGGGTTTCTCATTTTAATTTTGGATCGCACACTCGGGAGTTAGTGTGCGAGGCTCTAGTAAGGTAATAGAAATATAATCACAAAAAAAAAAAAAATGTAATCAGCTTGGACGTAATAGTTGAAAAAAGTACAGAGCTTCAAGCAGCTTTTTTTGTCGATTACATTTTTGTATATTGTTGTATATTGTATATGTTGGTATTGTTATGCAAATCGGAGGTATTTGTTTTTTAATCATGAATCCCGGCTTTTGGAACATTTTTGCATCTAGACGACCAAGACACGCAGCACAAGCTAGATAATTTTTTATTGTTGCAACACGCACCAGTTACGAACATCTGAACGACCCGCGCATTTAGAATGCTCCAGGCAAAAATATGGATGGAAATCAGGCTGGAAAGCATCACAAGTTGTCACAGGTACTTAATTAGCCAGTCTGCCTGTGAACGTCGATTTCGTCACTATTCTTGACCTGGACTAGCACCGCAATCACAAAGTCACTAAACGCTTGTGCTTGATAGAGAGACACTGCATTCGGTGCAGAACGTAGTTTTCTTCCTGCTCTGGACAGTGACCATAAAGTTGAGCGATGTATTTTCGCCCACAAAATTGTACTTGATTACAATTGTATTTGAAATGCCCACGTTTTAGTATTTAAATACACACGTCAAATACATTACGCAATTTGTAATTAAATACAAATGCAAAATACACAAAGTATTTGAAATACGTATTTCAAATACTGCCCATCCCTGATTTCAAGCTTCCAGCATGCTAATTACAAGCACCATCAAACTTGTTTCGCAATGTGATGAGGACACGAGAGCGAACCATAGGAGGGCGCCACCAAAACATCTCGCCGCCAATAAATGACCCCCAACGAATTCCCAATCGAAGCAAAAGACAAAAAAGCCTGTCGTGTTCGCGTGGGGTGTTCACACGAGAGAGAAATCCCGGGGATTTCCCCCCGGCACGCGCACATCACGAGATGAAAACGCGAGGCTTTTGCACATCGCAAAGCCTGACGTTTTCGTCGTGGAATGCGCGTGCCGGGGAGAAATCCCCGGGATTTCTCCCTCGTGTGAATACCCCTTAGCCATGTCTACACTGTAGCCATGTCCCTATGTCCGTCCGCCGTCGGGTGCACGTGCTCCTGCTCGTGTAGGAAAAAAAAAACCAAAAGAACAAAAACGCATGTTTACGTGGTGAATGATGTTGATTGGGGCGAAGCTCTGGTGGTGCTTGTCTGCGTAGACGGTGAGCCGCAGCATGCCGAGCCTTTCGTTCGTTTTCATCCAAGAAAGATAACGTATGGTATGGAACGTGGTTATACACGCATTTGAGCATTTGACCGCAGCGTGACATGGATGAAAACGAATGAAAGGCTTGGCATGCTGCGGCTCAGCGTCTACGCAGGCAAGCACCACCACAGCTTCGCCCCAATCAACATCAATCACCACGTGGAGATGCGATTTTTTTTTTTTTTTTGCTTGAACAGCTGGCTTTGTTTTAATTTTCAGTATTGAATCATACCTACGTTTGTGGCTATTGAATTAGATTGTGAATCATTCTATGAATAATATTATTTTCGCCATTGAATTATACTCTGATTTTATTTACAATACGTTTCTTTTCATATTGTTGTAGAGCGTACACTTTGAACTTTCGTTTCCGTCCTGTTTGTAAGCTACGCACCGTGTAAGATACACTCTTTAGGTGAGGACACGGCGGGGCTGAACGCGCGGCGCGAGGAATCGGAGAGTGTTCGTTCGACGGGCATCCGAAAGGCTGCATCATTCCCCGGCCACCGTGCCCGCGGCTGACAGTGTCGCCGGCGGCCAAACAGCGAAACTGTGTGAGGGCGAAAAAAAATATCTCGTTGCCATGACGCCCCGGTACACCGTGGTCTTTCTGCACGAGCGACAACCTCGCTGGAGCTCTGCGCGTGTGGAGCATGAGGCGGCACGAGCCGTCTTTGCCGTGCCCACGGGTCGACGAGTCATCTGCCGGCGCCGCTTGGAACCATAGTGAGAGAAAGAGAGAGAGTGAAAAGCGAATTTTATCTGCACTGCGCGAGGACCGCGCTGTCCTCACCTGAAGAGT